TTAAAACGAAAGATCGATGGAAAAGATGAAAGAGTGAGTGAGTGAATGAGTGAGTGAGTGAGTGAGTGAGTGAGTGAGTGAGTGAGTGAGTGAGTGAGTGAGTGAGTGAGTGAGTGACTGAGTGACTGAGTGACTGAGTGACTGAGTGAGTGTGTGAGTGAGTAGAGAGTGGAAGAATAAAGATGGAGAGATTGTTTTGATTGTATGCAGATGTTGAGAACTATATAATCCAGAAACAACAAGCCCCACCCAACACACACACATTTCCACACACACACACACACACACACACATGCAAACTTCCACACACACACAAACGCACTTAGATAAATAAATACACACATTAGCACACACACGCATACACATACATACATCCACATAACCGTACCCAACCTCACACACACACACACACACACACACTCACACACACTCACACACACATTCACACACACATTCACACAGCCATAAACGCCTACAATTATGATCATTAAAAGCCATAAATAAACCAAAAATGTAAAACTGGACAGATAGGATTGCAAGGAAATACAACCGCATTTTAATTTTCTTTCAATCGCTAGTTCGCTGGGGCCAAAATGATCTGACACGATCATATTATTTATTGTCTTTTATTTATCATTTTCCTTGCTTGCCAAAATTTAACTGTGTTTTATATTTCAATTGTTTCTTTCCCTCTCTCTGTCTCTCTCTTTCTCTCTTTATAAATCTTTATTTCTCTCTCTCTCTCTCTCTCTCTTTGTCTCTCTTTGCATCTCATACATACATAAATGCATGTATACATACATGCACACATACAAACAAACATAGAAAAAAAACACACACACACCTATAAACACACCTATAAATAGCTAAACATACATAAATCCAAAATCCAGTCCAAATGAAACGTCAAATTTGAACATAAAAATTAAAAAATAATTTGCGCACTTCTAATAGAAGTTTCTTATTTAAAAGTAAAACTATTGGAAACAGTACCCAGATGTAATTACTCAAGTATATAACTATGATTCTTCACAAGTAGGTAGGTACTCTAGTGTAGGTATTCCAGCACAAATGTCGGAACTTTTTAGTAGGCACCTACGTGTTTGACGACGATGATGATGGTGATGATGGTGATAATGATAACGATGGTGGTAATGATAATGATGATGGTAATGATAACGATGGTGGTAATGATAATGATGATGGTAATGATAACGATGGTGGTAATGATAATGATAAATCTAACCCCCCCCCTTTTTACCTAAGTGTTTCATGTTAAATATTTAATCATCTCCCTTTATTCCTGGCGTATATTTATTGCTAAGACTGAACACAAGCGGACCGAAAAAATCATTTTATTTATTTAATTTTCATTATAAATATATTTAAAAAGTATTTTAGATTAATTTTAGTGGTAGTAGTGGTTGTAGCAGAAGTAGCCGTGGTGGTAGTAGCAGCAGCAGTAGTAGTAGTCAATGAAAATTTTAAAAAAACAATATTTAATATTTTATATTTTTATTGAAAATAAATTCAAAGAGTTATATTCTCCATCAAAGAATAATTCATTTCTAAAATGGAAAAAATATTTTGATGGTTGGTTTTCTCGGTCGACTCTTAATGGGATTCTTGCATGTTGAAGTGAAGATGCCAAAAATCTGATTTAAAAAAGCTCGCAGTTTATTATGGCACTAATACAGAAGGGTTAGTATGATTTTAAGAAAAACGTCATCATATTCGTCATCGTCATCTTCATCATCATTGACGTCATCGTCGTCGTCGTCATCATCATCCTCACATCATTTTTCTAAATGTAATTTTTTCATCACCTGATTCTTATCTCCATCACCCATCACAGCTGACATCATCGTCATTACCTTGTCTTTGTATGCAAACAAAAAAAAACAAAGAACAACAATAAGGGTAAGAAACAGAGAGAGAAAGAGAGAGAGAGAGAGAGAGAGAGAGAAAGAAAGAGACAAACAACATACATAGAATATGACAGTGACAAAGACGGAAAAACAGAAAGAGAGAACGAGGCCCATTGCATACTCATAAAACACATTACATTCTTTGCGAGCGATACAAAACTTATATGAATAAATAAAAAAATTGCGCTATAAAAATAGAATAATATCTAGAAAATATAAAAAGTGAATTTAAATAAGAAACCAATACTGGCTTGTTAGTTGGATCAATAAAATTTTTTCAATCTTATCTCTTATCAATCGCTCGTCTTATGCCACATAACCGCCATGAAATAAAACTCTGCCAGATTATCTCTTCTCGTTCGTTTCTTTAGATACAACATTTTCATATTCTTGTAGGTCAGTGTACGTGAGCTTATATGTTTGGTTTGTGCATGTGTGCGTGTGTGTCTGTGTGTTTATAGGTATGTATATGTTGTGTGTGTCTGTGTGTGTGTGTTTATTGGTAGGTATATGTGTATGTATGTGTGACATTTATTCTAGTTTGTTTGCTTTTGTGTGCAAATTTTTGTATACAAGTTTGTAGCTGTCATATATTATACGCTTTGGCATTATGTATGTGCAGGACCAATGTGCCCGTTCGCCTGTACATTTGCGTGTATATTTGCGTAGGTGAGTGTGTAGGTAAGTATGTGTGAGTGTGTGTGTGTGTGTATGTGGTGTGTGTATGTTGTGTATGTGAGTGTGTGATGAACACCCCTTGATTTATTGTGCTTGACACTAAGCTTGGTTATTTCTTAGCCCTTGGTTATTTCCATAATTGTTGTGTATCGGTCAAATGTGAACATATATACAACGCGTACGCACGTCACAGAAGTGTACAAATACGTTTTGTATACTTTATGTACCTTATATATACTGCATACATTAGGTTGTCTAGGTAGGCATGTCTATGGTATAGGTAGATCCACGTACATGTGTTTCTTTAAAGTGAAGGTGGTTTTGTTTAGGAATTAGTTTGCGGTGTTAATCTTGTGTTTGTGTGTTTTGTATTATGGCCTGTTTGTATATTTGTGTGTGTGTGTGTGGTTATGTGTGTGTGTGTGTGTGTGTGTGTGTGGTTATGTGTGTGTGTGTGTGGTTATGTGTGTGTGTGTGGTTATGTGTGTGTGTGTATGCGTTAAATAATTGTTTTGTTTTTGATGTGAACATGATGATATGCAGTATACAGGCAGTAAGTACATTTGTTTACATGGTTGTTAGTTATTTTTTCATCCCATGTTTTAATTTAATCAGTTTCTAGTCATGGATGAATGTTTGCTTGCAGTTTAGCGTTTGTTGACGCCAATATTATCAATGTCATCATTAAAAATTAATCGCGAATCAACAGCCAATCAAAACAGAACATAAAATCTTCTCTATTAACCATTTATTTTTTAAAATAACCAATCGGAGATTACTAAACAGTCATCAGCCGATCAGATAAAACCACACATCATTTCTGCACCAATCACAAACAACCACTCAAACTCAACAACCAATAATATCATCAATCACAGCCAACGACTGCCCAGATTTGTACCCCCCTCACAACGGCTGGGTGGTACGTTCCGGCAACAATATGACCCTCTACTGTAACAACACCGCCGAAATCTGGCACCTGACGTGTTCTAAAAATAGATGGGATGGGAAATACCGAAATTGCACTGACGCCATTGGTTAGGAATGTGCGTTTGTGGGTGTGATTGAATTGATATACTTACAAATAGTTGAAAAGTAGAATATATTCAAATTTTTATTACAAATTTAAATATGAATAAAATGGACAAAATTTGATGACAAATGATTTTTAAAATGCCTGCCCATTCTTCAGACACCTTGAAATTTGAAATACATTTGGAGACATGGATGTTGATGGATGATATATTTTACTGGCCTACTCCAAACTCAATAGATCAATATCAGCGCGTAAACAATGATGTATATGCATATAAGCCAGTTGAATTCCCAGGCGGACTAAGACTAAAACTGGATAGAAACATGATGAATGAATGAAAATAGTCAAAAAATTAGCTTCATATATCGGAAAATTTCCAGAAAATAACTTCATAAATCTTTCAAAAGTTAAAAACCGCCAAGAAATCCCGCGACCAACGTCTGAGTAATTTTTCAACAAGAGTTTTTCCTTATTCTTATCGTCATACGTCATAAGAAGGAAACAGTTGAAAAATTTTGCGCGGCCTTCCTATGTGTGATTGACCTATCGTATGTGAGTATGTGAGTGTGTGTGTATGCGTTTGTGTGTCTGTGTGTGTGTGTGTGTGTCTGTATGCGTGTGTGTGTTTTAGTCAAATAATGTGTATGCACACTTTTTGTTAAAATAACTAAGGAACACGCTTACAAATTTTAAATAGCAGTCCACACACAAATATTTATAAATTTGTACATATGTGTATGTATGTATGTGTGTGTGTGTGTGTGGTGTGTGTGTATGTATATATGTGTATATATATATATATATATGTGTGTGTGTGTGTTTATATGTATGTACGTTCATATATATGCAGCATGTATGTATAGTTGTGTGTATTAATATTTATCCCCAGAAGATGAGCCCTCGAATTTACTTATGAATTTAGATGAACTTCATGAATATTAATTAGATTCATGAATATTAATGAACTCTCACAGGCTCCGCCCACAATGGAGACAGCCTGTCACAAACTGTCCAATCCTATCCAGTCGGTTAGTTTTGACTTGAAATGGTAATAACAGTAATAACATTATTAATAACAATAACAGCAATAATAATAATAATATGACGTCATTAAAGTTTAAATATTGTCAACGTTCATCTTAATAGTCTGCCAACTGAAAGTTTTCCACAGAAATTAAAAAAACTTTTTAATTTATCCTCTATTTTATTCTATTCCGTGAAATTTCTGCACATGGTATGAGAAACTAGTATTGCGTTTGCAATTTTTTTATAGTTCCTACTTTGTTTTGTATTCTCATTTATTGTATTGTATTGTATTGTATTGTATTGTATTTTATTGTATTGATTTGTATTGTATTGTATTGTTTTGTATTATACTATTTTGTTTTGTACTTTATTGTATTGTATTGCTTTGTATTGTATTGCTTTGTATTGTATTGTATTATACTGTTTTGTATTGTATTGTGTTTTATTGTATTATACTGTTTTGTATTGTATTGTTTTGTTTTGTATTGTATTGTATTTTGTATCTGTAGGTATCTTTGTAGCCGTGACGATTGGAATAGCCCTGGGAGTTTTCTGTGGTTTGCTGCTTCTCAGTGCAGTTATTTGTTGCCAGAAACAATCCAATGTCGAAAAGAAGTATAAAATTTTTGACCTTTTTTAACCCACATACTGACAGACAGTTAGACTGTCAGACAGACAAACAGAGGGTGTCAGACAGACAGACTGTTACAGACAGACTGTCAGACAGATATACATTCATGCAGACTTACGCGAATTGATTTTAATTATTAATAATTTTTTGTTTATTCAAAAAAGAAATAACGGTTTATTGTTTTCTTTCATTTTTTTTTAAATATTTTTGTAAATTGATAATATACAAGTTTAGTTTCAAATCAAATTTTTCATGAAAATGCGTTTAATAAAATATTTCAAAAAATAATTTCAACAAATTCCCAACAGACCGATAAATTATTTGGCTTACGACATTCCAAACAAAGAACTTAGACAACCAGCTGAGCCAACCCCAAACATGGCCGACCAAAGACTCAAAAACCAAATCGTCCCATCAGAGAAATTCTACTACGACGTCTCAACCAATCAACACGCGGGACCCATATGCTCGTGCGCCATTGGTCGAAATTTTAATTTTGACCCCGCCTACAAGCTTTCCAATGATGATTCATCCGGTCAGACCCATTTAAATCCGTCGCTAAGCAACAGCCCTTGCTTAGCAGCTTACAGCTACTCTGCTGCTGATCCAGCTGGACCAATGACAGCTTATCTGTTGAAGGAGGGCGGAGTGAACAAGAGTGACGTCATCGTAAGCTGTGAAGGAGGTGATGAAAATAGTTGCGTGATTGACGCAAACAAGCCTTACATGAGCAACAAGAGGATGACCTCAACCGGGTTCAACCAAAACAACTGCCGATGAATTACAAGAAATATTATTTTAATCATAAAAGAGTTGTTATAATCATAATAATAACAATAATAATTAATAATAATAATTATTATTAGTATAATTACTAATAATAATAATTATTATTATTATTGCTGTTGTTGTATACTTAATCGTTGGTATTATTATTATTGTAAATATCTTTGCTATTCGTTTAGTATATTACTGATTTCTGTTAGCAATGTAACTTTTACTGCTATTAATAATACTCCAATTACTTTGTGTGTGTAGCTGTGTGTGTGTGTGTGTATGTGTGTGTGTATGTGTGTGTATATATGTGTGTGTGTGTGTGGCGTGTGTGTGTATCTATTAGTCTATTTGTTAATGTCATTTAAGCCTAATGTATTAAATTAAAGCTACATGTAGACGAATTCCAGAATCGGAAATTTTTTTTTTAATTTCTATCTAAAAAAAAATAATAACTAAAGAAAAACAATTTCAACGTTTCCCGTTTAGAGGTGAGGGTTTTTCTCTTTATTAAACTCAATTCCTTTTCTGACGTCATTTCGTGTTTAAGATGACGAGCACGATTGGATTGTTTTATATATATTTTTTAGATCATTCCTAAATCGTAAATATTTTTTAAGTGTTTTGAATAACAATAATAACATTAATAAAAAATAATAATAATAATTCTTATTATTAGTTTTATTCGTTTAAACAATTCAAAACAAAAAACTACTACTACTGCTACAACTACTGCTGCTGCTACTACTACTACTACTACTACTACTACTACTACTACTACTACTACTACTACTACTACTACTACTACTACTACTACCGCTACAACAACGAACGCTCTGCATTAATTGCAATTAGCAATATATTGCTTTGTATTGTATGGTATAAAAATTCAAAAACCAACATCCTCTTCATCATCATCTTCGTCTTCTTCCTCCTCACCACAATTATTTACATTGTAGCCAAAATAAAGCCCATATAATCACATAAATACATACATATACGCAAATAAACACACACACGCACATATACAAACAAACACACACGTTCAAACACAAACATAAAATCACATTGTTTTATGTATATTTTTATATGTACATGAAATCGGTAATACCAGATATAATTAAAAAAATTATCAATTAATCAATAGATACATATACATATAATAGATATTTAAACATTTTATTCTATATTATACATTACACACACACACATACACACACACACACACACACACACACACACATACACACACACACATTCATTCATACATACATACATACTTTTACATTCTCTTAATTTGGACAAATTCCAAATCATAAATTATTCAAAAAGAACATGATTCCCATACCGCGACAGGTACGGTGTTGTGGAAAAATATTTTTATGCTTATGAGATATAGAAATAAAATATTATACGTTAAAAGATGATAACAAATTTAAATTGAATTTAATTATAAATGTAACAAATATAGATTACTTTAATGTGTCAACTTGCAAAAAAAAAAAAAAAAAAGTTGACCCCGACGTGATTCGAACACGCAACCTTCTGATCTGGAGTCAGACGCGCTACCGTTGCGCCACGGAGTCACATACCAAACCTTCGTTGTTAAATTGTTTTCGTTTAAAGAATAACAATGTATAATTTATGCGATCATAACACGACTTATAATAATACATTCATTCTTAGGTATAAGCACATGTACAGAACATACTACATATTACTTATTACACACACACATATACAAACACACACACACATATACATACAAACATACACACACAGGCACACACAATACTAAATGTGCATATATAATATATGATATACTATTTTTTACTTTATAATGAAATGAAGTTACAGAATTACCACAACTGCTACTATTGGTACTTATTTATGCTATGTCGAAAAATCTTTTTTTAAATATTGCCAAATTAAATAAAATTGGATAGTGAATTATATTAAAATGGATAAATAAATTAATTAAATAAACAAGCAAGCAAGCAAAATAAATAAATAATTTGATAAAACGTTAGTCTATAGTATAATCGATCAACCTTCTGCTGTTATAACTAGAATAAAAAAATTAGCAAATAATTAGAAATTTATATTTGAAAATTCATTTATTTAATAATTTTTAATTAAGATAATAAATAAATTAGTTAATTAGAAGTTAAAATGAGCGAAAATAATAATTTGGAAACGAATTTTAACAATCCTGATCGAGTTAGAATTGGTATGAAGAGAAAATCGAACGATAAGTCTGAATATATCATGTTAGTAATTTCATAAATTAAGATTAATTGACATTAATTATTATTATATTTAAATTAACTAACAATAATAATTGTTTATCAATAATCTACATTATTTCCTAAGTACTTATCAGACATATTAATTGAACCTAAACGCTGTGGTTTACGATCGTCTTCTTGTTCTCACTTCTTAACTCGTGTTAAACACTCTTTTGATAAATCTGCATTTGCTTTTTCTGGCCCTTTTCTCCGGAACTCTCTACCTTCTCTTCTGACTACTTCTCCATCACTTACGAAGTTCAGAGCGGATCTCAAGACCCATCTGATTGCAAAATTCATGGAGGAGCGTTGTTGAACATCGTGGAAATAGCGCTTTATAAACTAATTGATTGATTATTGGTTATCATTATTATTAAAAACTAATAATAATCATAATTTTACATTATTAACCACTAATGCTGATTTTAAACTCCAAAAATGTCATTTCAAAAATTTTCAAGATATAAAATCGATCCTGAAAATTCTGAGATTCCTATTGGCTGTCTAATCAAGCCCCAGCCAATGAGAACGTTCCAAAAAGAACAGGTCAAGGTCGAGAGGCAAAGTCAACTTGAAAGTAATCCAATCATAGATTGGAATGAGGAGTTACTCAGTAATGTGATCTCAATTGCAGTTACAAAAGGAAATAACATAATGGTACTATATAGTCATTTTTTAATTTTAAATTTAGTTTCTAATTTTTTCAAAAAATATTATAAAAAATTACAGATGAAATTATTTTTTGGTACCATAGGGCCCAATTCAAGTTTTGGTGCCCTTTTTGCACACGAGGCACAACCCCAGCAGGCAGCCAATGATAAAACTTCAATATATCGGCTGCTCTGATTGGATAGTTCTCGAAAGTCAGGAAGCTTTCATTGATGGATTTAAGGTAATTGTATGTGAGGGTATGTATGTGCGCTTGTGTACTGTGCATGTGTGAGTGCGTGAGAGAGGGAGAGAGAGAAAGAGAGGAGAGAGAGAAAGTATGTTTGTGTGTGCAACAAATAGGAATACAGATTCTTAGAAACAACAATGACTTCACTTGTGGACTGCAAAATGGCGGTGGTGACCAGACCAAAGATAGAAAATTTCGTCATATCTCCACCCGACAACCTTAAATTAGTGTCGGCAGTGGACCCCAGGGTTACTCTAACTTTCAAGGAACTTCTCATTAGGAAGCCTACCAATTATCAAATCGAGGTTATATCTTTTTATATTTCTATTTTTCTTAAAAATTAAATATTTTTTGTGAGAGCTAAATTAATTTGAAACAAATGGCAACGAATTTACTAGAAATTACTTTCTACATCATAAGTACCAGCCAGTGGATTTGATGGCCGTCCAAGAAGTCAAACGTCGCCACAATGACGAAACAAAATGGCTGCTCAGCAATAGCGGAATTTTAAACATAAACGGTCCCGATACTTACCTAACCATCACACTGCCCATCCCTCCCCCACCGATGACCAATAAGAATAAGAGACCAAGCACGGGTGTAGAATCGAGACATTCCCAACCAATGACATCATCGCAAGAAACCAATGGTGGAAGTGCTAAGCAGAGGCCAAAAACAGCAGCAGCCAATAAAAATGTTTTCAAATTTTTTGGCCGAAATTTTGAAGGCAAGTTTTACAAAAATATGTGACATTAATATTTCTCTATATTACCGTATCGCTATTATACTTGGTTTATTTCAATTTTTAACACAAAATTGTAGAGGAGGTTACTGACAAATTAACACTGTTGGCCTATCAACGCCCAGAAGACTCCGACACTGAAAAGTGGACTATCCGAAGTGTTCCATCATTCGTTGAGACCAGAAAGAAAGACGCTGTCACTTTCGAGTTGGACCGATATATACCGAAAAAGTTAGTCAATTATATAAAATATTAAATTTCGAATAAAAATAAAACGAAAATAATTATAATAATTTAGGCTATCTGTAATAAGACATTTGGTGGTTGGTTCAAAATCAGCAGAGGACGACGAGCTATTAAGAATGATGGGTCTAATTGAGTCTTCCATAAAATATAGGAGCGTTCACGCCGTTCTGAGACAGAAGGAGAACAACATGAAAGATGTTGCTATTGTTTGTTGCTAACTTTTTGTTCTTTGTGGTTATTTGTGATTCTTTTTTAGTAGCTGTTTGTATTTTTAGTAATTGTTAGTGTTTGTTGTTGCTCGATTTCCTGTAACAGTTATTCTTTTGAAATGCATTGTTATAACTCATAACATTTTCAAACATGTATCCCATATGGAAATATATCAAGCTTTATTTAATTTGAATTCCTTCATCCTAGATTGTATTAACATTAGTCGGACCCCTGAAATTAGAGAGAGTTCTCCGCAAGATGGCGGAGGATAATTATAAATATGGACCGCCGATCAGTTCAGCATTATCGTTGAGAGATGGAGAAATCGTCGAATTGAAGTTTAGAGGAAATGTAATTGATAGCAGTGGCCGCTGTGGTAACATTGGAAGCAGTAGTAGTGGTGGCGGTGGTGGTAACATTGGTGGTAGTAGTATCGCTACAAGTAGCTGTAGCGGCAGCGCTAACAACAGTTTTGCTTGGAGCCACCACAGATCCAACAACAACAACAGCGAAGCAAACGCGTTTACAAATAATACTGTCGATCCGAATTCAGCTTTTGGTGACATGAAAATTGTGGGGAAATCTTGGGAAAAAATTCAGCAGCAGCAGCATCAAACACTACAGCCTAATACATCCACAATGAAACTCGTTTATAACTCGCACATTCGCTCTAACGTACAATTCAACGTTGACATCGTTGACAAATATTCACAAAAGGCTCTGGATAACTACAGAGGATTTGTTCAACTTTTCATAAAAGCCCCGGAAAGTGACAAAAAACAGGATCGAAAAAAACAAAAAGTCGCATTTGGAACTGTCGGGATGGGATCATTTTCCAGTTTGAGAAATGATTCCGCTAGCAGTATTCTCAGTAGAAACAAATCGAAAATTTTCGCGAGTGAAAATGAAACAATCGGCGAGGAAATTGTTGATTTGGTAGATGAGATGTCTGGAGAGGCGAGTGATGCAATTGTCATCTCAGATGAGGTCGTCCTGGTGAATGAAGTTGACGGAAAGCTGAAAACTTCCTCGCTGTCCAATCAAAATTTCAAAACGCAGCCGTCTTTCAAACAGTTTTCCTTCTTGACTGATGTCAACAGGAATCAGGGAAATTTGAAATTTCTTTGCGAGCTTCTCATCGATCTGCCCAAGGCTTGTCTCAACATTTCATATTTAATTTCATTCAATTAGTTCATATCTTTAAAAAATTTTATGAAAAATTTTTTCGAAATGGATGTTTCAAAAGTTATCAGAGAGAGAAATGGCGTTCACAATCAGGAGAACTCCATTCACACCACGTCCAGATGGTTTCATTGACCAGGCCTTCCTCGAAGATCTGTCCAATCGCATAGGAGATGATTGGATACGATTGGCTGATTATTTGAACGTTCGACGAATCAGAATCCAGGCTCTCAACATAGACAGAGCCAATAAAAATCCAGCTATGGACGTTTTGATGACGTGGATTAAAAGGATGCCCAGATCGGCCAATAAGGTAACGAGAAACCTCTTGACGTCATACTCATTTATGTACCGCAAAATAAAAAATTTTTATAAGTGTTATGAATCGAAATAGAAAATCAGTGATATGCTTTCCGAGACAAATCAGCTTTTAACAATCTGACAAAAAACCATTTTGACAAAATTAGGAATTAAATAAATCATATTAATAACATTTATTTAAAAGTTGATTGAAATTTAAAATCTCCACCCACATACCCAAAAGTTATCGATATTAATGGAAGCGCTATCGTCGTGTGGTCGTCGAGACTTGAGCAACATGCTGATGGAGAGAAGGAATGATGAAAGGAAGAAGTCACCGCTCTATAGTAAAGGTTGGATAGATGGATGAATGAATGAATGAGTGAATGAATGAATGGATGTATGAATGAATGTATGAATGTATGAATGGATGGATGTATGAATGAATGGATGAATGAATGTATGAATGAATGTATGAATGAATGTATGAATGAATGAATGAACGAACAAATGAATAGATGGATGAATGGACAATTATTATAGTTATTTATTATAGTAATAATTAAAAACAAAGAAGCAAGATTGGAACGAGCAATAAGAACAATCAGCGCTTACTCGCATCTCATTTACGATTGGCATCTGCTTTGCCAAAGATTAAACATAAGCGATGACGTTATTCAGAGTCTTCAGGTATGTAGCGCTTCATTTTTGTGGAATGAGTATTGATGAATTTAAAAAAAAAATAGCAATAACATTACCATCACTCATGAACAACTGATACAAGTAAAAAAGCACATAAAAAATGAATGAAGGAATGAATGAATGAATGAATGAACAAACGAATGAATAAACAAACGAATAAATGAATGAATGAATGAATGAATGAATGAATGAATGAATGAATGAATGAATGAATGAATGAATGAATGAATGAATGAATGAATGAATGAGGTAATAAAAAATATTATTACAAATACTACTACTAACCTAGAACCATTGAAACAAAGAAAACAAGTAACAAAAACACAGCCAGTCCAAACATACCGACATTACGAAAAACAGAACCGATACAACAACACGAGTAATAGATGCCATCGAGCCATCACTTACTGGGCAGAGATGTCTGGTGGTGGTTGTAGTGATGACGTTGGCGACGAAGTGGTTTTGACGCTGGTCAGTCGCTTGAGGCAAGCCAAATGCCATCAGTTGGCCGGTTGGTTGGTTGATTGATTGGTTAGTTGGTTGGTTGATTGATTGGTTGATTGATTGCTTGATTGATCGATCGATCGATCGATTAATTGATTGATTGATTGATAGATTGATTGATAGAGTAGTTGGTTAATTGATTGATTGGGTGATTGATTAACCGATCGATTGATTTATATGGTAAATGATAATATCAAATACACACACACACACAACAACACACATACAAAATAACAACAACACACACACACAACAACAACACACACACGCACACACAACAACTCACAGATATCATTGAAAAAGATTACCACCGATGAGAAAGCCAATTGAAAGACAAAAAATCTCTCTTTCACTGTAACAATAACAACAATAATAACAACAACAACAATATTAATAATAATAATGACATTATCATTATTATTATTATTATTATTTCTTAATTAAAGATAAAAATGGCAATAAAAACACACTTGGTAGAATTTTATTGAGACGAAGCTAGAAAAAAAAATCAATCAATCAATACTAAAACACACCTTTGTAAAGAAGACACAACAAAAAAGAAACACACACACACATGCACGTACACACGCACGTACACACACACATACACGCACACGCACACACACACACACACACACAAATTTATTTTAAACCAATAAAATCACAAACTCAATACTACTCTAACAATACGATTATACGGATAAAATAAAATGATAAAGACGGACAAAACAATGTCATATTTGATAATACCATGCAGTTTAATATGACTTTATTAATATATATATTATATATATGTGTATCTATAAATAATTATGCTTTTTGATATATATATATATATATATATATATATATATATGTGTGTATATATGTATATATATATATATATATATTGTGTACGTATGTGTGTATGTGTGTTTAACACTTGCATATATACTATTATATATATATTATCTATATATATATATATATATATATATAATTATTTATAGCTGATATAATAGTATCAATATTTTGTCAAAATGAAATTAATTATCCTGATAAGACATCATCATCGCTATCACAATAATAATAACAATAATAATTATAATAATAATATTAATTCTTATTATTATTATGGTTGTAATCATCATCGTCATCTGTTATTTTCACAGGTCGTCATCACCATTCTGGCTATTATTATCGCATCACAATCGTCATAACCGTCATCATCAGTTATCATCTTATATCCTTATCATCATCATCATCAGTTATCACCTTATATCATTATTATCATCACCATCATCAACATCGTCGTCATCGTTATCATGTTTGGCTATTTCTATATATCTGCAAATGACGTCAGAACGAGTTCGGCTGTTAGTCAAACCGCCCCAATTTAAAACTGACTCCGCGAAAGACTTCGATTTTTTGACTAATGATGTATAAATAGATGATGTTGTTGTTGTTGTTGATGATGATGATGTTGTTGTTGATGATGTTGTTGATGATGATGATGTTGATGGTGTTGTTGTTACTGATGTTGTTATTGATGATGTTGTTGTTGATGTTGTTGTTGATGATGTTGTTGTTGTTGATGTTGTTATTGATGATGTTGTTGTTGATGATGTTGTTGTTGTTGATGTTGTTATTGATGATGTTGTTGTTGATGATGTTGTTGTTGTAACCGGTATGGCTGTTGTTGTGGGTAATATTATTATTGACGATGTTGTTGTTAATATCGTTGGCGGAGTTGTTGATGACTGTGATGATGATAATGATGACGATGATGGTGATGACGACGATGATGATAGTTTCGATAATGATAATGATGTTGTTAGTTCCGATGGTGATAATG